ACGCACCTGAGAATGCAGAGCTATCCCTTTCCCTCTAAGCTGATTGAATTGCTTCTTTCCCAGAATGTTCCTCGCAAGGACTACCATGGGAGCAAATATCCCTTTGCCTTCGGCTGGATTGGCCATCATGATGACAACGCCGGCCGGTCGCCGCTGCGATGGTCTTCCGGGCTTGGACGTGGAGGGGGACGAGGTTGAAGGAGAAGCTGCCGAGTGTGCCGACCTAAGGTGAGCCCCGCTGGCATGTCCGGATCCCGACAGAAAGGACGACTCCCACGTGCGCAAACTGTCGGAAGAGGCGAAGCCCAGATGAGAAGACCCGGCGCACTGTGCAGGCGGAGTGGCGGAGAGCTGCACGCTGCCGCTGCAGCTGCTGCTGCAGGAGGAGGCCGAGGAGGAGGGGATCGCCATGGAGGACTGAATGCCGGCGACCACGGGCGCTGATTGGGCGGCGACCGTCGCGGAAGGTCCGAGCGGCGTCAGCGCCGCTCCCACAGCCACACCCATCCGCCCCTGTAGCTCTGTTCCTGGACCAGGAACTCCGGCAACGGCCCAATCAGCCCCGACCGGGTAGGCGCAGAGCTTCCGCGCGCACGCAGCTGCACGTGCGCGCGGTAGATCGGCCCCTGAAGCCAGGAAGGAATGCCACCTGCGCCACTCACACGCTACGTCGCGCGCGGAAGCCCCCCCCTCCCCCAGCGCCGAGCACTGCACATACAGACTACCCACCCTTCCCACCCCCCCTCCCGACTCCCGTGCCAACAAACGTATCCCTTGTCCCCTCGTCCAGCTGCGCTCCTCCCACACAGCCCCACTTTTCGGCTTCCCCCCCCCCCCCACAAGGGTAGGCCTAAGTAGGGCCAGACCATCTACGCTCCCAAAGCAGCTCTTAGGCCTCCCTGCTCCTTCCTGCCGATCAGCAAGCCAGTCACTTCCCCATAGTGCCCCGGCTTCTTCGTCGTTCACCACCTGAGTTGATTGACCAACATAGAAGCTGGCAGCTATGGACTCCTGCCTCCTCGACCCATCCACCCGCACCCTCCTCCGGGCGTGTTGTTTGCCTGCCTGGGTGGGTGGGTGGCTGGCTGGGTGGGTGGGCGAGCGTGTCTGTCTGCTTGTGTGGGTGTGTAGGTGTCGCGTCTGGAGGCGCGGGGCAGCGAACCGACGGTCGGCTGTGAGTAACTCGAATCTGGAGGCAGTTTGCAGACCACAGGAGCGTATCGCGAGACCAGAGACAAGTTGTGCGACTGTTCCGACCAGCGCAAAAAGTAACGTCACAGAAGAAGCATGGATCGGGGCCGCTCTGCGCAAGGAGGACACCCATAAATCGAGATCAAATAAAAAAAGGAGGTCCAAATACCTTTTTTTCGCCGTTCGGCTAAGATCAAGCGCAGTATCTGATCCACACGATTAAACCACCACTACTTGACCCATACATCGGCCGCGGGGCGCCGCAACTTCCGGAGGCTCGGGGTACCGGCCCTCAAAGCCTGGCGCCGTCAGCCAAAACATTTTTTTTTTGTTGCGCTGGCGGCTGGGCTCGAAACGGCACGCAGCCCGTTTTCAGGCTCGGCATTGATAGCTGGGCGAAGTACTGGTGGTTTAGGCGCTGATCTGACAATACGTAAAAAGAGAATAAACAAGAAAGTCCCTTGAAAGACGGACACAGGTAGTGCGGGGCGGAAAAGCAAAGTGGGACCCCACACAGGCGGGTTCCGCGGGTCTTTCCCAAGTACCAAGCCAGATTTTTTTGGGCTTCCACCGAGATGGACGTTCCTGTGGCCTGCCATATGGCCTGGCCTCCAGCGTCGTACAGTTCTCTGCTCCATGGACAGACATTGAAAAGGGCGACTCATTTTTGCGGCAGCTTTCTCAGTAGGGGTAGGGGTCCTCGACCTTTCCATTTTGCGTAGCTCCGTTGGGCCGTTCATCACGGTCGACGCGCCACGTACACATGAACCGAAAACGTACCCCTAACAAAGCGCGGCGCCCTGTGATTTCAAAAAGTGGTGGGATCCGCGTTTCTCAACGAAATTGGCTAACTTACGCACTGTCGGATCAGAAGCTTAACTTTTTGGGTCAACGGAGGGCTCAGAAGAGCAGGCTTGCCGACTCGACCGGTCTTTCAGGACATGAAAGAAGGGGGGGGGGAAGCCATTGGCTCACCTATAGGGCGCAGGGGGGCTCAACCCGTAAGTGTGTAGCGGATGTGGGAAAAAAAACAAAAAAAAAGTGGGGGGGTTGTATGGCCCAAGGCCCCACTTACAGTTTAGACAATGGCCGAAGTAGTAGCTTAGGGGAGGCCCCGTTGCAGTCCAAACAATGGTCGAGTAGTGCTTCAGGGGAGGCTCAAGTGGCAGCCGCACAGAGGCCCCGTAGCAGCTTAGGGGAGGTTGAGTAGGGGGGCTGTATGCGTGGAGGGGGGGGAACGGGCGTGAATGTCTTTCCTGACCCACGTTGTCAGCAACAATCCAATCCATGAATGAAGTAATGCTCAATGCACCTTGTTAGATAGATGGTTTTGACTTTATGAACCTGCATGGTTCACTCCTGTCATAACATCGCCTTCACCATGAGAGTGAGTTTGCAAAATAATGTGAGTTTTCCACTGTGCATTGACATCACCCCCGTTGACCCACGTTGAGAAACGGTACATTATGGACAGATGTCCCTTACATCATCATGATCGCAATCTCCATACAACACGCAACATTGATTTGATATTGAAGGCATTCAAAAATAAAGATTGGGTGGATATTATGCTTAAACCATCAGTACCTCCTAAAAGTGCTCTGCGTAACAGGCATGACTTGTGGGATGAACAGGCCTGGACCGGTAGGCCAGATTCAGCCAAGTGGAAACAGCACAATTTCCACTTTTGGTTGGTCGTTAACGCGGAGCACTTTTAGGAGGTACTGATGGTTTAAGAGAGCGGTAGAAGCCACAAAGTTATTCGTGAACCACTCAAAAGTGAGTGACTTGCCGCTAGTGTACTCCAGAGGAGATATTCTTACGAGGTCGGGTGCAACCCAATTCGCTATAAACTACATTATGTTAGAAAGTCTAAAAAATTGTACTTGTTGTTGCGATCCAGCGTTACGGATAACGATTGGAAGGACACCATTATCCTCCTCTCACAACGACATTTGTTTTACATTGCAACAAACAAGGTGCTTAACAACTGGTTATGGGTTGGTGTGCAGAAGATGAAGGAAACAACTATTGATTTGCTACCCTTATTGAAGTTCACAGATGGTGGAAGACCTACAATCAACAAAGTGTATGGTTGGATGGATAAGGCGGTCACGGTGGCGAATGTGAGGAAGATTGAATTCCTCTCGCAGGAAAAAAAAAAATGAACTGGAGGAAATCATTATGTTGTGGTGGAACAAGATTATATCTCTACTTCATTGTGTGGCAATTTTTTTTTTTTTTTTTTTTTTTTTTTCAATGTTTATGAACCTAGAATTTTGAATTGCGAGGTTAGACGAGGATGTGAAGGGATGAATGAATTTTGGATGTGGTTACACTTGTGGGCAAAGCTATAAGTGTTGGGCAACGAGGTGCACTGCTAGATTGAAGAAACACCGAAGTTCAACTCCGAGGAGACGGTGGCAAGCGCATGAGGTGCGCCACCTGCAAGGTGGTGGAGGAGATGGTGAGATGCCCATCTTGGAGTGACAAGCAATTTGCTTGTGGGGACAAAAGACCTCTACGTCCAATTATGAAAGAAACTAAGGTCTCTTAAAAAAGATACACTCCACAACACGTAAGTCGGGCGTTGGCTAGTTTAGTAAGCTCGTGTATAATAGATGAAACTCTTTGACAACTTGATAGAAACTTGCATGAGGGAAAGTGAGAAAGCTCGCAGGAAAATAATTGTGCAAATAGGTAGAGCGTGGAGTGGAGTAATGGAAAATCAAGTTGTGTCAGGACTTGAAGGAGGAAGTGTCAGATGATGATGACATCAACCACGACAATGACATGAGTTGTAGAAGCTTTGAAAGGGCAATCCAAGTGATGTGGCAATGATGTTTATGATGAAGGACGACGGCGTGGACACATCTCACACTAGTGAGCTTTGAAAGGGCAATCCAACTGATGTGGCAATGATGTCCAAGATGAAGGACGACGTCGTGGACACATCTCACACTAGTGAGCTTCGAAACGGAAATCAATGCGGAGTAGCAGTCGTGGACGAAGTGTACACGAGCCTCAAAGTATATAACTCGCCTTCATCTATTTGAGTTTCATCATGGTGCGATGAACATCATACCCGACCACGTTGAAAAGTACACAAGTACTTGGGCCCGTGCACGCGCTCCGCTCATAAAGCGCTGACTAAGAGAGTATTAGGGCGACCGTGAAAGGTGCAGCAAACAAAGAACTTGCCAAAAAATGAGGAGAAGAGGGTTGAAGGTGTAGATCCACAAGTGGTTAACAGGTACCCCCACTTTTCAGCCTCAGGTTTATCCCCTCAACCCTAAAAAATGCATTTGGTGATTTTTATTTTTTTTTGTTTTTTTTTTGCCTTGTTTTGTTTTGGGTCAAGGTCTGCGTGTGTTGAGGTTTGACATTTGTTGGGGTCTTTAAGAATGTTTTGGCCAGCCATAAAAATCCTTGAAAAACTAAAAGCAGCGAATTTTGCATAAAGACGCACTTTTGTCTTGGGGTTTTTCGCCCTTTTGGTCCAATTTTTTTACTTTTTTGTTGCTTTATTCCGTTTTCACTCTATGGACTTGTGACAAGTCTGGCTTAAAGGCGTGGGATATTTGTTATAATGAGCGTAAAACGACCCTAAAATATTTAGAGTTTTGTTAACCATCAATTTGTAAATTATGCAGAAGCATTCAAATGTACAAGTAATATGGATGTAGAGGAGATGGAAAAAAATGTAGATTTATCCATTGACTCTGATATGAATCAGAGTCATTGGCCAAATGCTGATTCATAGGCCAAAGAGCCTAGAGCGTCAGAGAGAGAGAGAGAGAGAGAGAGAGAGAGAAAAAAAAAAAAAAAAAAAAAAAAAAAAAAAAAAAAAAAAAAAAAAAAAAAAAAAAAAAAAAAAGTAAAAAAAAGTATAAAAAAAAAAAACTACACAAAGGTCATATGCTAAGTTATTCTCACGTTGAACTTTTGTCTTCCTAGTTAATTCAATTCGGAGTTCAACATTTGTTGTTTCAAACTTCAAAAACATCGTTACTCAATAATTCATAATTTCATACTTCTTATAACTTGTTCAAATTGTTCCCCTCGTTGATGTGCATGTGTAGTTTGTTGTTTAACTTGCGTGTTGTTATTGTTGTATGATTGTTGAAGGTTTTTTTTTTTTTTCCCCTTGATGAAGGGTGCACCTGGTGGTGGTTGGGCATAGCCTTGAAGTAAGTGATTACAACCTACAACCTTTGTTCCTTAATTTTTATTTTTTCAACTTTTTTTAATTTTTTGTTTTTCTTGTTGGACTGAGTTCACATCAGCTGGAAGATGGGCATGCAGAAATGCAAAATGCTTTCTTTGTTGTTACATCATCCTGCACTTTTTTTTTCTTGGACTCTTATCTCAATTGAATTGTAGCAACTAGATTCTACTTCAGAGCATGAGGAACAAAAGGGTGTAGGGTGTTGGTTGTGTTGTGACAAGATCGACACAAGTGACAACAATGACAACACTCTCTGCAGGCGTATACACACGCAATATTTTTTTAATGATGATGATCTTGAGATATCATCAATGAACTAGCTGACCCCAACAAATTCAAAATGGTTTGATTTTGTTCATGTAATAGTATATGGATTTGAACTTGAGTCTGCGTATCAGGTTATCAGTAGTTTATGGGTGTGCAAGCTGACATGGGGTCGTTGGTGAGTAGCGTTACCCGCCCTTCAACCCAAGTTAGTTTACTTTTCTTTATGAAACTTTCAGTATCCGATATATCAAGAAGTTCTGGATCATATCCAGAGGTTCGGACTTAGTCTGTACATGGGTTCATTTTCGGGTTCGGGTCCGAGTCTGACATAACCATGATAATATATGATCGTACCATTATGTTATTGGTTTCCATTGTAACACTAGAACTACAGAACCCTTCGAGTTTCATTTTAATAACTTTAATTCATGGTTGATATATCGGACCCGCAATGAAGTGACTAAGAAGTTTGTGTTTGCTCCATGCAACAAGATTTTGTGTCCTTATTAGAAACTCGCCTCGTT